GATGTTCCTGGCATTTGGATGCTCTTTTCGAATGCTCTGAAGCACTGGGATAAGGTGTGCCCATGTGGCTATGGCATCATGCTGAAGACAGGCCGACAGAGATGCAAATGACTCCACCCTGCCACTACCAAGATAGATTACTCCAGTATGGAGGGTTACCTGCTCGTTGCCACCTCCAAAGTGAGTTTCTTTTATTTCCCTTGTGTATTTACAAGCATAGTTCTCACTGTAGTCAATGTGAACCACTACATCATTTTGGGTCAGGGTCTCTCTCAATTTCCTCAGTCTTTCAAACTGGTGCTTTATGTTGTATATGTGTCGTGAGAAGTTTGAGAGGTGGTCCTGTGTAAGTTCCACTAGTTTGTCAATGGAGATATGCCTCTTTTCAAGAAACACCTTTCTCACCGCCCTCTCTTGAGTGGACCCATCTTTGCTTTTCTGTGCTACTAGTACAGATTTATTGATCCACTCCTCCCAAACAATGATGTTACCTTTTGTGGAAGGATCCAGTGTTGTTTGTATTGTCTTATCCTTGCAATTGCTGCATGTTCTGTACATGCAGGACTTTTCCTCATCACTACAGACAATAGTCTGTACTATGTCTCTTGGGGATGATGTTCCTATAACCCCAAGTTGGTGCAGCTTCTTTATTTTTAAGCCAACGTTTTCATGTATTTTGCAAGCACAAGTTTCTCTGTCTGTAACTTTTCTCTGGCCAATCCAAAATGGTCTAAGTTTAAAAAATTGGGACTTTGAAAGGCTGTGCCTGGGATTCTCTGACAGAAATCGTTTATACAAATTTGCCATTGTGTCTGTTAAGGCTCTCTTCCGAAATATCTGGCCCTTTCTCCTAATCTCCCCAGATTTCCCATTTATAATGGTGGTGACTTCATCGTGATGAAGAAAGCGGCTAACCAGAGTGCGCATTAGTCTTCTCTTGCTGTTACAAGCCAAAGTCCTCTGAGGACCTCTCTTTGCAACATTTTTCTGCACCTCTCGGCCTTCATTGCTGCAGAATGCCTTCTTTCTCTTGGGCATATTTTCAAGTCTCTTGAGTCTTTTCCTGAGATTGACCATCTCATTGGTCTTCTCCAGAAGCTTTTCTTCCGTGTGACGCAACTTTGACCTCAATCTCGAAAGGGTTTTCTTTCTTTTGCTCCTATTTTTGTGCAATTTCTTTGGTGTTGACATCATCGGACCGTGTGTCTCTTGATAGGTTTCTCTTTTTTTTTTTGCAGCTGAGTTTGTTTCAGGGGCATTGACTTGCTGATTGATTGCTGGTTGATGATGTTGTTCATCCTCTTCCTCAATGGGTGGTGTTATATCCAATACAGCGCTTAGCTGTTTCTTTCTTTTGTAATATTGTTCAGAGTTTTTCCTCCACTGTTTTTTCTTCCTTTCATGTTGCTTCTTTGTCAGATCTTGAGTTTTTTTTATTTGACCATTTTGTTTTCGTTTTTGATATCTGAAAATGGAAATGGAGCATGACATCAAATGAGCATGTCTTCAAAAATAGGAAAACATTTATATGACACAAATATATAATCCTACAGTCGAGCTGAATGGCTTTCAGACTGTGTGAACATCCTATGGTTCAAACTTGCACACAAACTAGCTTCAATGTGTAGACATGGATATGTGTAAACTTCCTAGCTTTTTGTATATTGACTTCCTAGACTATACTCTTGCTATAACCTCTCAAACCCCTAACCTTTCTCTCTCCTTCCTTCTGTATTCTTCCAGCAGTTCTGGGTCGCTGTAAATCTTTTCTCTGAATTTTGTCAGCCTAGCCTTCGCTAAAGATGTATTTTTGTCATTTGCTGACTGTCTGCAATGAAACAACACATTAGTCACATTTCAAAAGTTGGTACAAATATTTAAATAAAAAGGTACAACATGTCATTTTTGCCACTATGGAACTGTCAATCCAACCAATAACAAAAGAAAGCAAAGCAGAACGAGGGAACTTGTACACTGAACAACCTAAATGCTAACCTTAGCTTTGCTCATCATTATATTTAACTTAGGCCTAATTATTTTCAGAATAAGCAAGTAAATCTGGTAAATAAATAATGAATCACTTAATAAAGCCCTTTACATTTTTTTTTAAATACTGTATGGTCAACTTCTCATTACCGATACAGAAGTTCTCTACCACAACTGGCCTTAAATTGTAGCGGTAAATGAGAAAGGTGTTGCGGTGTATGAGGAGCATTAGCATTTCTTGCTAACAATAGGGAAGCCATGATGAGTAAGCACATTTTTACTCAATGTACATTATTGGACATAACTTAAGTATATTTTCATAAAAAATTATAAATCTAACTTTTTTCTGAATGTTGAAAAACAACTGTTTCAGTAATGAGAAACGATATTGTCATGTACGTAGTCTTACTAGAGAAAGTTTAACTTAAGTAGAGAAATGAAAAGAGATATGCTTACCTGGTAGCCATCTTGAATGAACTTGCAGATGTACTCCTTCATTCAAAATCAAACTTTATTTAAAATTATCTTTGTGTCTGTAAACAGGCACTCAAAAATGTTGCGGAGGATGAGAATACCAGTCATGGACACTTCATGTTTGCACAATATTTTCATTATTATTGTACATGAAATCTTAGTCCATTATTTTTCTATCAGTTGAAAGTATGTAGTAGAACATGCATGCCTCTTTTTCAGAACATTTTCATTTTAATCAGGTTAAATTAAGACATAACATACATTCAGACAGAGCTGGACGCATTGCGGTAATGAGAATTCAAGGCAAAAATGCAATTATTTACAAAAATATTTCCTTCCTATGTTTAAATTACTCTATGTTCCAATTAGAGACCACTATACTCTTTATAATAATATTTTGTTATATCACTAAATCACATGTTTTATATTTAAAATCATTCGTGCCATTGTATTGTGTCAGTTTCGTGAGAATGACCCACTAAGGCGGGGGTGTTTGTGAAAATAACAGGGACAGAGCTGGCTGCTGTCAGACGATCAGCTGTGCGGCGTCATCACAAACGGACGTCGCTTCACGTGATGCTCCGGAGGAAAGGACGTCCCATTGCTCTTAAAACTCATTTCCCTGCTTCTCGTGGTTTTCCTTGCGTCTCTCCATGCTTCCCTGGTGGGAGGGACTAGTTGCAGGGAAACGACGCAAGTGAGGGACGCAAGAGAGGCTTCTCAATACTCAAATGTCCCCTCCTCGACTCCCCTCCTCGGTTCCCCTCCTCGAGACTTAGACCCGCCCACAGGAGATGCGAGCGGAGGACCGAGGAGGGGAACCGAGGAGAGAGGAGGGGAAGCAGCAGACGTTTAAAGAAATGAGAACTCCTCTCCTCTGAGCGGTCATATTAAAGAGACGTCCGTTCATTATTACGTGGCAACAGCTGCATCAGCTGTCGAGTGTTTTGTCATAGCGCTGTATCTCTGTTAGATCAGCTGAACATTGTTCCCCCACATATTTACTTTGAATTCATTGAGAGTGCGGTATAATGAGACAATAACAGATGCGGACACACACACACAAATATATTTATATAAATATATACAATTTAAAGTATGAGAGCACTCGCATAATAACGTAACACAATCAGAGACTGGATATATCCCCCCCTCTCTCTGGTCGCTGAAATGGGGAATTGAAATTACGGGCCAAAAGTTGTATTTACAAGTAGGCCTATTAAAAGTAAGCAGAGGATACCAAACCAACTGAGACCCGTCTGTCCGCCGCATTTACGCACTGTACAACACACACCTACACACTTTACCACACACACCTACAGCTCCAAAAGCATAAGCCGTTGTGTATTTTATTATGTGAAGCAATGTCCGGTTAGGATGTATTAGAACAAAATCTAAAATGAAAATTGTAAATAAGCAATCTGTATGTAAAAAACCACCTGTATGTAAATTGTAAATAAGCCATCTGTATGTCAAATATGTCTTATATGTCTTAAATGACATGATGAATTGGAAATGGGGGACCCTGATGTAAACAAGACGAAAGTCTTTCTCTGGTCTGCATCCCCTTAACAATTGTATGTTTTGAGCTGTACTGTACTGTACCCAATATACAAGCTGTTAATAAACTTTTCAATCAATCAATCAATCAATCAATCAATGGTCTTAGAAAAATATCGACTCTTTGTTTGTAGATATCTACTAAACTAAAGCAAATAAAGAGAGTAGGCCTGTTATACTGAGTGATATATATTATACACACTGCTCTGCTTTCTGCATGGACCTTACAGCTGTTCTCTCTGGAAACATCGCTGACGCGATGAAAGCAGTTTCTAAAATAATATCCAGGGGATGCATGCATAGCTGTCATTGGCTGAGATAAGTCCGGCCGTGCGTCACGCCTCCACCGTTCCCGGAAATGCATCCGTGGAGGAGCCGTGGAGGAACCATCAGTGTATCCTCGGTTATAGCTCCTCCAGAGAGCCTCCTCGACGCTCGATGCTCGGTCCTCGGTGTGCATTTAGAGAAATGAGACGTCCTTCAAAATGGCGCGCTGAAATTCATTTCCGGGTCACTACCGGAGGACCGAGGAGTCGAGGAGGGGAAATTTGAGTATTGAGAAGCCTCTAAGGATTCCATTTAATCGACCTGAGAAGGACCCACAGCCTGCCCAGGTGGACGCGTGAGAAACGCGACAACGAACGTAGCGTGCGCATTCTAAAAATAACTCACAGATGGTGAGCAGGTACCGCGGTTTTGAACTACAGTATTGAATTTGACAGAAAACAACAATGAAATGCCAGCAGAAGAATAGTCTAATGAGTTGGGTGAAAAAAAAGACAGGAGATGTGAGTTGGTTTATTCAGTAAATTAGCTCAGGATAATTGGATGTTCTGTCTACACCTGTTGATGTGAGGCTAATGCAGGATTTGCTAGCTTGATGCTACCGGCATTTAGCGGCAGTGACTCAACAAATTGCCTCTTAAAATCTATCGTCAGCAATGTATGACAAGCAGACTGCTTGTTTAATGTTAGACTCACACCAATAGCTCAATATGATCATAACACGATTGCTTTCATATCAGAGATCAGATGAGGTGGAGCTGCCTCCAGCAATAGAGGATGAGACAGAGAGAAGCAGCAGCAGCACAGGGTTGCAGCAGGTATGTTATATGCTGTAGTCAGGTGATTTAAATGTATCAATGAAAGGAAGAAGTGTAGGCTACATGATAAGAAAGGAATACAGTTTGAATAAAAGTAATACAGTACAGTGTAACACTGTACTGTATTACTTTTTAATGTACAAATACTTTGTTACTGTACGATAACAATAACAATAATCCACAGCTCCTCTCTCTGCTCCAAAATCTGTGCTCCAAATTTTTTTTAGCAGCCCCCTGCCAAGGCAGTAAACCTAGGCGAAACACTGTATACCCCTCATTATATGAGATCAGGTAAGATTAGATAGACTTTTTTCATCCCAAATAAGGAAATTGTTTTGACAAATACTTTATAAATTATGATAAAATACAAGTAGACAAAAATAAAAGATAATGCATAAACAGTAATGCATATCAACAGTAGAACATATATATTTATATATCCAACATTTTATACCCAATTAAAAAAAAACACATAATAAATTACTTTACAGTTGTCTGCTGGTCATTAATAATGCTCTCTTGGTTTGGACGGGTGCTGAACTCCATTTATTTCCCCTTTGGCGCACAACATTCTGCTCCTGCTTCATTGTTTGGACAAAACTAAATCAATGGTCTAGGGCTTCTCTCCTGTTCCCCATGATCATATTCTGACAACAACAGCACACACCCAAAGCAGTTCATATGGCTTCAATCACGCTCCCTGGTTATGATTTGAAAAATGTATTAGCTTTTATTTCAAAAATGTAGTTTTGTTGAGGCTAGAGCTATGAGATTTGGAATAAATAACTAATTGCGGTTATTTTTGACTGATTTTATTATTGGGATGATTCACAATTTGTAGGGATGGATAATTGTTGCTTATCATTGAAGGATATGTTTAAAATTATCATTGTGTGATTTTTTTTTTAAGAGGATCTGTACCAAACAAAGATATATATATTCAGTCCGTCGAATATAATTTGTAGTCTTGGACATCTTTGCAGCACCAATACTTTATTTAGAATGATATCCAAATTATCCTGAGAACTTGACGAACACAAATATTGTTTTCTGGCATCACTTTGCATTTTGTTATGAGGGCGCATGCCGAAAGTAAGAGGGAGCAGCTCCCCTGTTACCCGATTTAGACAAAACCCTGATATCAACATAAAGTATCCCTATAAAAATAGAGAGGCCTAATAATAAGGCCTTATGTGATTTCCATGTTGTGATTTTAATTATAAGTTCATAAATGCTGATGGAATACTTTTGTGGCATACAGGAGAAAAATCATTTAAAAGTCACCAAACGCCTAAGTGTATAAACATCTACAATTCATACAAATATAAGAAGATTTATTTTTATTTCAAATGTTTTAAAATATCTCTTCTTTCTCTTCTCCAGGTTGTGGTTCTGGGTGGGGAGGCCGAGCGGCTGTTGTCAAGCAAGCCGGGGTCGTTGCCATGCAGGAGGGGTTTTACTCAGGAGGAATACATCATCCAAACAGACCAAGAGCTGGCAAAGGGACAGGCTGTCTTCAACGGTCAGTGTACACACACACACACACACACACACACACACACACACACACACACACACACACACACACACACACACACACACACACACACACACACACACACACACACACACACACACACACACACACACACACACACACACACACACGGCTCCAGTAATAATCCCCAGCCGTTGGGTGGGGGTTGTTTCAGAGTCCTGCTGATATTTGAACCATAATGGAGGACCTTTGTTAAGACTCAGCCCATACTGTCCTTCTGTCAGGATAAATGCTGTCCAGTCTGATGACTGCACTTAACATTTTATGATGATGGTGATACACATATCGGGCCTAGTCTTCTATTTCATTGATTCATGTATGAGTCTACTTTTCTTAGAAGGGTTAGAAAGTAATGATACATAATAGAATTATAGTAAATAAAGTAAACTTTGGTGTATGATTTGTGCTTTTGGAAGGCTGAACCTGATTCAAAAGTCATGCAGTTCAGTGTTTCCTCTAGGATGGAGTCATAGCAGCGGTGCTAAGGCACGTGGGCCAAGCATAATGTGAGCGCGTGGAATTTTTTAGTGTGTGTGAAGTGCGCACCGCCAATTTGTTTCTATGTGTCTGCCAGCACAAGAAAGGCTCTTGAGGCCTAGTACCAGGGCCGGTTCTAGCCAATTTGCTGCCCTAGGCGAGATTTTATATATAAAGAATAAATGAAAAATCTCTACAAAAGACAAATACACTACAAAGACAGAAACGTATTGACATAGGTCATATATGTCAAAATGGCTTCAAATGTATTCAGTATTGTATGAACATGTTTTAATTGGGGGTATGTCCCCCCGGGAAGATTTTTTTTGAACATTTTAAAGTGAAATGCTTCAATCTGGTGCACTTTGAGCACACAATTACTAGAGACCTGATCTAGGGGGTACAACTCTAAAACACCCATATGAAAAAGATCGGTTTACATTTTAATAATCAAATAAGTATGTGAACATAACCAATAACCTACCATAGCCAATAACAAATAAATGTAACTTATTTTATTTTTGTTGTTCATTTATATCTTATTTTACCAGTTAACATTTATTAATTTCTGCATATTTTTGTATCTCACCAACTTTAAACGATATTTTTGGTTTACTGCCCTATAGTATACATTGGAATGATTTCAAACCTGTTTTTATTTATCCTAATAATTATAAAGGAGTGCCTTGGAAATATGTGTTTACATAATTTGTAAACACATATTTGTTTGAGACCCACTGAGATAACTTAGACTAAAATTAACTATCTAAACACTCAGAGAGTCCTTTACCTCACTGAGCCTCTCAGTCTGACAGGAGAGCTCTCCTCCACCATGGTTGAAGAAACATCTACTTCTTATATCCGTTAGCGCAGGTAGCACCAGATTCTAATAACAACAGCGCCGGTACCGGTGCGCCCTCTCTCTCTCCCTCGCTCGCTCTCTCGCTCCCACGCTCGCACTTTGGCTCTGAGCTGCGGGCGCCTGATAAGCCAACATCCCCCACTTTCTTCACTTACAGCGCATATGTCAAAAATCGGACCTGCCAGTACATACAGTGGCAATGTCTCAAGATTTAGGAAAAATACACCTTTATTGAACATACAGTAACACAAATACTACAAATCTACATAACAAACATTGGGTACCTGGCTGGCGTACCTGGCTGCACCACTGCTATTTGTATATAGGGGAAACACTGCAGTTGCTTTAATGACACTAAAGCCAAGTTCAGGCATCAGTAAATAATATTTCTTTCTCAAAATCAGATATTTAAAACAAACACTCAAATATGTTTGTGTCCAGGCATCATCTACTGTGTCTGTGTGTAAGAGCCATTTAGGCACATTATTTTATGGTAATGAATTATGGTTTTGTGAGCCAATTGAATATTCTTTAATTTAACTTAAATGAGCTGAATAACTATGAATTATTATTTTACTGTTTTGTAACGTGTTATCTTGCTTATGGACAGCTCTAGTTTACGTTTTGTTATTATTTATAAAAAGCAATCGTAGGAGAGTGCTCAGGTATAAATGACGCTGCCAGCATGACACAGCAGGAAGTCTAGAGAGGAAGTTGGAAAAAGTTTTTGACCACACACATCCGTAAGACCGAGGGATCTTGTTTGTTTATTTGTTTAAATACCGTGCAAATGTTGCACGTCGGCAGTGGGCCGCCAGCTGATCTATTGAACCTCTCAATAAAGCACCTGAATGGAACGTGCAAGTATCTGATTTCTTGAATATACTCGAACTCGCGTCCTAGACTAAGTGGCCTTTGAACATTAACTTTCTTTTGGACAATTGGCCACTACATTAAGTCAAAAACTTCCGAAAAGGTTGTGAGGATTACTAGCGTGTAGGAACCTACTATCACTGGAATTGTCGGATGTGGATCTGATCGTGGCTACTGGAGCCACGGCAGAAACTAAGTGGATCTGGTTCCAGCGTGGGAAATAGTTGAGTATTGGGGTCAGATGCATTACTCCGCTTCAATAAATGAAGCAATGCTGTTCTCTTTGTAAATGCAGAACAGCGGAAACTGGCTTTTTGCACACATTTAATTTCAGTGGCATTGTGTAAAAGCATTTTTACATTTGATAAAAAGAACAATCTTCACAAAGGTTGCTGCCTATTTAAAAAGCACCTGTCCAACTCTAATGTTACCACAACAAGTCACATGTTAGCTTATGATTGCCAATTATGCAATAATAAGGAGCTTCAAAGTGCCAGTCCCTGGTGGATTGTTACGTCTGGTCCATATGTTTGAAATTGAAACCCAAGAATATTAAAGAAATGATCCGCTCAAATATATTTTTAATATCAAACTCTTCAGCTCGTGGTAAGCTTGAAATATGTCTATTTATTTACAGCCACCTTACTTACAAGTTGTGAGTAATGTATTTCCTGAGTTTCAACTTTCATATCTGTGAAAGAAGCATTGTAATCACATTTAATTCATGAGAAATGCAACAGTGCTGCCAGGAAAAATATCGGGGCAACAAATAGGAGTGGTGAGACAGATTTTTAAACAAACCACCAGAGTATCAGGGTAGGAATTTCATGGCGGCCATGGCCGTCGTTGCTCCTCGGTCTGGCCGTTATGCCCCACAAATAATTGCATGTCCTACGGCCACAATGGCCTGTGTGCCCCTCACACTGTTAAAATCTCGAAGTTGCTTTAAAAGCGTCAGAACAGTGGTTTCTGAACTGCATTATGCTGCGTTCACAACGGACACGATGCGAATATTCGCATTGCTCTAATCGCTGGAGTTTCACCGCGGGTGTCAGCTGTGTATACTTCTGTCATTCAAACAGGATGTGCTGGAGAGGGGGCGGGGCTTATATCCATGTAAATCAGGGGTGCCCACACTTTTTTGGCTGGTGAGCTACTTTTGAAATGACCAGCTCACCGAGGTCTACCAACCAAAAATAAAATCCCAAATTGCAAGGGTTGCTGAATAACACGTTTTATTTATACATGGGATAACTACAATCGGGCTGCAACAAACGACTCATTTGATAATCGATTAATCTATCGATTAATTAATCGACTATTCTGACTATTACTACTAATGCAATAAAGATGAATACTTGATTCAAAAATACATATATTATTAAATTAACTTAACAAATTGTGAACAAAATTAACATTGCTTTTTATTTAAATTAAATAAATAATATTTCACATCAAAAGAAACAACAATGTTTTAACAAATCGTATTAAATAATCTGATCACAGAACTGTAAACAGAATAGCTGAAACTTTAACAAAATAAATAACTCAGTTACCTCTAATCATTAACCCATGTTTGTATAATTGAGTTAACTCCGTGTGTTGCTGCTAGCATACATAATACCTGACGTGGAAAAGTTACTCGTGGATGGGGCTACAGAGCTACTAGAAAGACAGTGGAACCCGGTGCATTCCTCCGTCTGAATGTGGAGCACTTTTTCTAAATGTTTAGACAAATTGCTCGTGTTACCGCCCTTACATGCTAAACACTCTTGGCAACGAGCATTGTCCACCTCAAGACGGGTAACATTTAACCACACTTTGGAGGCTTCTCTCCGCCATCCCCGCCGTGTGTTACTGGATGTAGCAGCCGCGTGTGTGTAAACTGCCCCGCCCCCTCACACACAGACGGGGGAGAGAGAGAGATCCCGTCTCGATTGGAAAGGTCGAAAAAAACACCGACCATAGATGCATTTTTGTTGTCTTTTTGCATGTTAGAAACGAGTTGGCGACGCTAAGACTGCGAGATAATGTTTTTGTAGCAACAATACATGACCTTTCTCTTTCTCAACTCACTACTCGGAGGGAAGTCGCTGTCATATGCTTTGTGAACACTCCGATAATGCCTCTCCACGTTACCTTTCTTTGGCAGAGCGACGCTTGCTTTACAAATAAGGCAAATAACCTTTGAATGTGACATCACAAACAAATATTCTTCCTCCCATTCTGGGTGGAAGTGGTATGTTTTTAGCTGGTTTTTTGTCTCTTGTTTGTCTCTTTAACTTAATTTGAGTTTTCCCAGCACTTGACTGATTTTGTATCGCTTTGCATTCTGGGTTAACAGACTGGAAAGCGATAGGTCGTTTTTTCTGTCAATCAAGTAAACTCCTGAATTAAGTGGTAGGGAGGCCAAGGGAGGAGGGATCAAAACCTGTTTTGTCTATTTTAACGGGGCTGGATTTTTTTTTTGTATGAATGACTCGCGATCTACCAGCATTGCCCCCGTCGACGTACTGGGCACCTCTGATGTAAATACTGTGGTGGAAACCAACTACAACAAAATTAACATATTTTACCGTAATTTAATTGTAATGCACGTTTCAAAATGATGCCGAAGTAACAACATACTGATAACGGTTAGTAAAAACCATGCTTTAATGCTTTGACAAGTGTGCAGACAAGACGGCAGGCGAAAAACCTTTTAAAATGCGTGTTTTCTGAATGTCGGATCGATCAGGCTAAACTAACCTGT